ATTTATGACGCGGTCGACCCGGCTTCTCTAGGTGAAAAAGGAAGTTAAATCTGGAGAGGCTGCAAAAGAATGGCTTGAATATGCAGTAAATTTTGCACCACATACATGCTACAGTTTAAGGAATTTTTTTAAGTCTTACACATAACTTAAAGTCAATGTTTATAATAATTATTATTAATATATTCAATTTTAATAATTGAGCTTAAATTTCAGTTTAATTTCTATATAACAACATTTCTATACAAGTTTCTATACAGTTTTTATTTTTGTAATTATATTATTAATATAAATATTAATATACAAAGTTGTATGAATTCTGATATAATATTTTTTTTAAATAACACACATCTAGCGCTGACATCAACATAGTTGATCAATCAATCAATTATTCAGTCAACGCGTTATTTAATCATTACGTTAATAAAACGATTCTCATAGCGCCCACTGATTTTCTATTGAAAGAAACTGGAGATGAAAAGGCACGAACAAAAAGTGTGCCCCAGAGCCCCACATACCAGCCGAACCGAACGCGTTGTACACACATACGCATACCTCCCACATCTTTTCTACGCATAGAGCGCACGTGGCGCGTTTCCCCGTAAACGTTCTCTCTCGTCGGCAGCGGCAGCGTACGGGGGTGGTTTTGGAGGTGGCAGCGAGGGAATCGCGGTGACGAGGCGGCAGGGGAGAATGGTCGTTACACGCACCGGTCACTGCCACCCCCTGGCTATCGTCGACACGACTCTCCCCTCCCCCCATGCAAAATCACCCTTTGTCGCGCTCGATGGGAAATTACTTTTTGTCCGTCGATTATGGGGTGAATTTTCGGACGACGAGGGCCGATCATTTCGAACGAGATACGACTCCAATTCGAGACGTCTCCGAGAAAGGGTGTCGTATGAACATCGTGACGAACTATGTTTTTTTAATTGTTTTAAACCGTTCGATTTGATGATAATTAAACAAATAACAATTATAATCGGTCAAAGAAATTAATTATTCCTATTTTATTTTCTTTTTTAATATTTCCAAAAAATATTTGTACGACGCCCTTTCCTCGTATCTCGTTGGAAATAATCGGCTTTTGTCATCCGGAAATTTTAATTTATTTGAAATAAAATAAAATAGAAGGGATTTTATAATTTCTTTGATCGATTAATCATATTATTTGCGATTGTTAAAATGAACTAATCAGAATTTATTCAGTTTTACTGTTAAATTTTCATATAAAGTTAGTTAGTAAACGATGCTCAGAAGTGCCAAAAGAAAGTGCCGCGTTACTATATTTCTTCTTTTAAAAACATTCGATTTCCTACTTTATTATCGGATTTGCTAATGTAACCAATGTGCTTTAATGTCCAAAATTTCTAAAAGTTTTTATTTAACCTAGTAAGCGTAATTCTCATATTCTAAGATCGCGTAAAACTCTTAGCAGACAGCATCGTATTAAATTTCACGCTGATTCGTGCATTGCATGACGATGCCTGGAAATAAGAGAGAGACTTGACGAAGTGTGCCCGCGGGGCCACCAACCCTTGATTACCAAGATCTTCATCTACATGCTAAACATCGCTTCACGGCACCGTCTTGAATACTCTTGTACTTACGTATGTATCTAGATCCATGGCCCGCGGATCCCCGTCTCCGTTCGCTTGCAGCACTCAAGGTATTTTCCACCCTCCCCGATCTCCCTGACACCCCATGAAACGCATTGCCGTACCATCTGTATGATGTTTGCTTAGATTAAATTAACCGACCGTGAAGCCGTCCTTTGTTCTTCGTGCGGCGCGGTGAAAATGCCGACACGCCGAAAGGAACGGGAAAAGAGGGAACGTCGGGGGAAAAAAACGGGGTTCGCTTGTACGAAGATCCTCGGATTTTTCGCGTATTCGGATTTGCAAAGCGAAATCAGACTTGCTACAATTCATCAACGGTACAAAATGTTCAACGTTGAAATATAAGCGATGTTGCAAGAATTTGCAACCGGGAGGGATAAATATTGTTTCCTTATATTTTATAGTAGTGGAAAAGGAAAAGAATTTGTATATGATAAAGAAATGTAATTTTTTAACAAGATTCTTTAAAGAAGGCGCCATCTTTCTTAGTGGTGACTAAGCGTACTAGTGGTTTCTTAAAAGACGCTTGCCGGCGGTGCAACTTCTTTAAGAAAATATCCTTATTCTTTCTTTCTTACCGACTCGTTTTGCTCAGGTTTAATAGCTGTCCACCCTCTAATCTTACGTCGATTCAGCAGCAACTATACAAGTTAGAAAAGTCGATTCTTCGAAGTGACAGTCTTCGTACTGTCTTTTTAAATCTCTAATAAATTAAGAAAATCAAATTTCGGTGGGCAAAATATTTCTGACAATCCCTGAAAAATTATTGGAAGGCTGGCCTTCGAGAAATGCTAAATTAACAAATTAGTCAATGAATTATATTTTGTTAATGGTAATTATTTCTTGCATTTTTTAAAACTCATTTTTTACCGACCTTTCCGCGAGCTGCCTTACCACGAGGGTGACGTTTTCTTAGAACTGAAGAAGGGTGCAAGAAGGAGGAGGGTGAGTCTTCTTAAATGTCTTCACCTTCTTCCTCGTACGAGGGCGACACCGGTATCGTCTTAGGAAAAAAAAGATTGATAAAACAATGAGTTTATTTTAATCCCGTTTGCTTAAATTTGAACTTTATTCTTTCGTAATTAATAACACGTAAAGTTTAATCGCGGTGAATGTAGTAAAAATTTTTCTATATAATGAGCGTTATCTTAAATTGACTTATTTAATAAAGGTTGAAAAATAAAGTTCATAAACTATTTTATTCCATTCGTGAATAATATGTTTATCCTTTTACTCTTCGCCATATATTTACATGTGAATAAATGCTAAAAAAAGAAACTTTTTTATGAGAAGATATTTGTAATCCAAAATATTTTCCTTAAAATAAATAAAAAACGATATCTCTTTAATATTCGCTCTCTTTAATATTCAGAAAAAGGAGGAATAGTAACACTGTTACTTTTACCGCTATGTTTTATTAACGATATGTCGTTTTTAACAAAATGACGTTGAAACTTCTTATGACTATACTTATAACTAACTAAATGCTAAAATTGCGCTTAGATTGGGAAAATTAATTTTGAAAAGTAACTTAACATTATTACGCATTATTTACTGAAGAAAGTATTTGTTACTTATAATTGATGTGTTATTTTAT